CGTAGAACACTTCATCAGGATGAATAAACTGTGTACCTGTGGACATAACAACCACTTGATCCATGCCGTTCAGTGCATTTTCGATAACCGACCATTGGAGTGGTCGAAAACTTTTGTGTCCAAAAAATTTGCGAAGTATACGAATAGCATTGTCAGGCGGTTCAGGTGTTGCCGCTCCAGCACTCGCATGTGAGGTCGATTGTTGATCAGCTCCGGAAGACAAGAAACTTTCGTCATTTTCCTCTTCGTCTATCATCTGAAACTTATGCTTCCAACAGAGAAATCTCCCCCATCTGAACTCCTTAGGACAACATGAATTTAAGCACCCGAAGAAGTGACAAACAGCGCTACTTTCAGAACAAGATCTGTGGTCTCGACTTTACCAGCACGGGAAACAAACTTTTTACGCTCGTTTACTTAAACTGTGGTAACGGTAAGAAATGTATAAGACTTAATGGACCGAAACATTTCTTACCTATAACAAATATTTCTTTAGACCCCTTACCTATTTTAATATCCTTTTCCTCCTTTTCATTGTTTTCTTCTTCTCCTGATATTTTCCTTTTAATCTTTAAAGGTAAGATAGAAATAACAGACCAGAAGGATTGTACTCAGTCGTCATGCGTAAGGTGATATTTTACGGTGCGAACTGTCTTTCATCGTTTAGATGTAGTAAGGTGATGTTTTACGGTGCAGTCTGTTTTTCATTCATTAGCTGTAAACACAGACCGGACACTATACATTTGGGTAGGAGCGGGAAGAAAATGAGGAGAAGGAAAAAGAAGAGGAGAAGCAAGCGAAAAAAGGAGGAAGGCGAGTATTAAAATATTATTTAAAGGTAAGGTAGGACAGAAGGATTGTACTCATGCGTCATTTGTAAGGTGATATTTTACGGTGCAAACTGTCTTTCATCGTTTAGATTTATTAATAAGGTGATATTTTACCATGCAGTCTGTTTTTTCATTCATTAGCTGTAAACACAGACCGGACTGTGCATGCATGTGGGTAGGAGTGGGAAGAAAATGAGCAGAAGGAAAAAGAAGAGGAGAAGCAAGCGAAAAAAAGAAGGGAGCAATTCAAATATTTGTAATTGGTAAGAAATGTTTGTAACTGAAACGTTTGTCTTGATGATAAACTGATATTGAAGTGAGTCAGAGGAAACATCACTACAATCAGCTTGCTTTTAAGCAATCTCCAGTAAAAAATTTGTCGACAAATTTGTCAAAAGATGGTTCCTGTTGGGATGCGTGATCACTCGGGCTATTTTCAAGTGACCCGCACTCGCTCTGCATAAAAATCGGAGGCACAGTGAGTAGGTAAGGGAGTAGTAGCAAGTGCCAACAGCAACTATTCACTGGCAATACTATCGGTGACTCGCTTTCGAGAGTTATAAGCAGTGGTGGATCGAGGAAGGGAGACTCTTTTCCTCCTTTTCTTCGGTTTCTTTTCTTCTTGATATTTCTTCTTCAACCTTTAATTAAGAGGAGGGATTTTTCGCCCTTCCCTCTTTCCTTCCAGGAGCTTAGATATTAGTTGTTTTACTGTACAAAAGTTTGCTCGGTACCCCCTGTTGCCCCTTCCCCAGGAGACCACCCTGGATCCACCTATGCTTATAAGTATGCTGATGTCTGGAGTTCCAAAAACACTGCAGAATAATCCGATTAACTGAAGTAGTGAAAAAAAAAGAAACGTACCGCGGCGAGAAGTTCCTCATCGCTTTGCGACATTTTTCACCGATAATGATAATAACCGGTAAGACTAAAAAAAAGGTATATAAACATTGATTTAATGTATTATTTTTCGTTAATCTATCACCAATTTGTCCCCTTTAATAACATTCTAGTACTTTCATCCCCTCCCCTGCCTCCCCCCCCCC